CTCTCCTGCTTCGGGCTCTGCCCAGAGCCTCCTGCGCTCCCCTTCCGACTCCTCAATTGTGAATGATCCTGGATTGGGCCGGTTCCTTATACTCCTTGGGCTGGTGTTCCTGCAAGTAATTATTTCATAATTTTCGCAGGCAGGATCGCATAAGAGGAGGATCAACGTCCCATCATGTTTGTTGAACATCACGGTCTCTGTCCTGCTTAGGAATAACCTCCCCAAGAGGATTCCATGGTCCACGTCTGGCATTATGAAGAAGCATGCCCTGACCTTCACCTTTCCAACCTCGACGAGCACATTCGAGGCTGTCCCACAAAACATGGCCTTACATCTGGCTCCATGCAGAATACCGCAGTCAGAACGGTCTATATCCAGCCCAAATCTGATCGCGTCCGCCTCCTGAATAATGTTCATCTCTGCCCCGGTGTCCACCATTGCTGCGCACTTGGAACCCTTCACCATAAAATTCACCGTACCGCAGGCTACGCATTTCCAGTCCATCTTCGTACCTGACTCTGCCCACTCTGCCTCCTTGGGCAGGATCGTACCCAGATGGACATTGGGCACCAGGCGCCGTGATAACCTCCCCTTCAGTTCATCGCGGAGTCGGGGGGCTGACGCTAGGATTTCCTTCAGGGTCATGAGGTCATTATGCCCTTCCAGCAGCCGGTCAATCACCTTCTCTACGTCGAATCCTTCTTCCAACCGGACCGCGTATTTCTTCTTTTTGGGCGGTCCGTCCTGTATGACCGGTTCGGCCTCTCCCCTGATCCCCTTTTTCCTTGCCCGCTGCTCCGCTCTCTGATCCTCTTCTTTGCGCAGCCTCTCGTCCTCTTCCTCTTCGTTATCGTCGTCCCCTACTTCCACAGCCTCCTTCCTTCTCCCTGGTTCGTGTTCCCCCCTTGGAGGCTCTTGGCTGGTACTGCCCTTGGCTTGATTCCTCGTTCGCGCTGCCTGTGCCAGCCGGGCTTGCGGAGTGGGGGGTCTCCCCCTTATTCCTGGTTGAGGGCACGACCCCACCACATTTACTCCGGGTCGCCCAGGCGCTGACCCCGGGCCAGAGTCATAGAGGAATACTGTGGGGATGTTAGACCTCCATTCTTTCACTTCTTTACAGAGGCCCACCAACTTCTGTTGGTACCTCCCCATCTTATCCAGCAAGTCCTTCATCTTCTCAAATAAGACGGACGGAGGCTCCGTTCTTTCCTCCTCCTCCTCGTCATCTGACTTGATGATTATGGCCTCTTCCGTCTCACTTCCTCCTCGCAGCCCTTGAGTCACTTCCTCATCACTTCCCACTTCTTTCACCCTAAACGGTGGTTCCTCCTTTTCCTGCCATAGCCTGAACATGGCAGGGGGCAGTGGTCCCGCTGCCGCTCTTCGTTGGGCTTCAGCCCCCACTCCTCCAAGCCTTCTGTCAATGGCCTCCCCAAATTGATCGTAGATAGCCCTATCCATAGTAGAGGAAATCAGCCCGTTTTTCTCGTCTTCCCGTCTTATATTACAGAACCTTATAGTGTGGCCTTGCTGGTCACAATGTTGACAGATGGCCGTCCTCCAGTCAAAGCGGGGTCTTCCATACCCCTGACTTCCCTGATCCCCCTGACCTTGATACCCCTTGCCTTGATAGCCCTGGCCTTGGTACCCCTGGCCCTGACTCCCTTGGCCTTGGTACCCCTGGCCTTGACTCCCTTGGCCTTGGTACCCCTGGCCTTAACTCCCTTGGCCTTGGTACCCCTGGCCTTGGCCATTCCATTGCCTTCCTCTTCCACCGCCATTCTTGCCTCGCCCCTTTCCTCCACCCCTCCCTCCATTGCCTTGATTGCCCTGTCCCTGGTTCCCACCCCCTACAACACTGCCCTGTGAACTGGGATCAGGTGACGGTGGCGGGGCCACAGGTTGGGCCTGGGTCGCGGGGTAGATGGGTGGTGGCATACTCGTTTGCGGTCCGGCTACTGGCGGCGTACTTCCCCATGGCACAATTGCGTTGATCACCGACCAGGGCCACTGTCCATAGGAGGGCGCTCCGCCTTGCGAGGGGCCCGTACTAGATAATGGAGCCGCCACATTTAAAGGGGCTGCTGCCTGGGTTTGAGGCGCCTGCGCTTTTCTTGATCCCTGTCCGCCCTGCGCCAAATTACGCACTTTGCGCTGGACCTTCGTCAGGTGTTGCGGCACCGGCTCTTCCTCTTCCCAAAGCTCCTCCTGGCCAGCCTCCTCTATCACTGACTCTTTTCTTTTTACTTTGACAGTCGTCACCACCCTTCTTTGCACCACTGGCTCTGTCGCATACCCTAGCTGTGCCAATACGTCTGTAACAATCCTTGTTACTCCCGGGGTCCCAGAAGCGGTCGCATCTCTTTCCTTTCTCTTCTGTCTTTGCAGGCGTACCTGACGTTGTTCTACCTGGTCCAAGCACCCAACTTCCACCCCTCTGTCAATGGTGGACCAGGTGAGCTTAGTGCTACCTCCTCCATGTCTCGTCAATTCGACGGCCTCCGATGCTGTGAGTAGCCCCAGGAAGATGGCGCACTGTGCTTCCTCCGAAATCCCATGGACCTTCCGCACCCTCTTCTTAAATTCTTGAACAAAGGTCCCTATAGTCGTAAAATCCTCTTTGTTCATCGCTTCAAGGTCCGTGGTAGTCAACAACCCGTCTCCCAAGCGGTATTTCCTCTGCATCCCCTCCTTGAACCTCTCCCAGCTACCTTGAGCCGCATCTATGACTTTCTTCACCACCTAATGGTAGCTGTGGAGGACATACTGAAGGATGCGTTGAAACTTTACAACATCCGGCCGCCCGACCAAAGCTTGTTCCACCCGCTCTAGCCATTCTGAGACTCTCTCCCCACAGAAATGGAAAGTATCGACCTTTGGGATGTTGCTCGGGTTCCTTTCATGTCGGTCGATGGCCGCGATGAGGTCATCGAGTGTCAGACCCTTCTTGGGAACAACTGATGCGCCGCCAGTCTCAGGCATCTTGACAGCCTTTTCTTTTTAAGTTCCCTGGCAAAAAAAAACAAGTACATCCCCTTATTCAACATTATACCTTGACCGGTCTATTTCATTCGTCCTACCTAACCCTAAGTACTTACTTTACCCACTGTTAACACGATCGTCCCTCATACTTCCTCTACTTGGGTAGGTAAATTTCCTCACCTACACTTAGTCATTTATATATTCATTCATTACCTTCTCATCACTCCTTTATGCCTTTTCTTATTCACTTCTCATACCCGGATGTCGTTCCACCAGGGACAACGGTAGGCTTTCCGTTATCCCCGGCAACGGCGCCACCTGTAGGGCGCATCCGTCCGGCACCGCACGGGGGTAGCGCGGGACCCTCCCGGCCGCGTCACGCAGAAGTAGGTTTTTATAACTCTTCGTCGCAATATACATGGAGCTTCCACAAGCCGCTCCGACCGGGTGCGTCAGCCATACCTCTCGCGAGCCCCTACGATAGGATAGGGCCTACGCGAGGCACGACTTACCTACACCTTACGGGAGCTGTCACCTCCCTTGAGTGGGCGTATCCCCGCCGAGCTACCAGTCCACAGTACGAAAGCTAATCAGTTGCAATCGCAGAGGTGGACCAGCCGAGGGCGTTCCTCGTTCGCTGTAGCATAGGGGGTACGCGCGGTAATACGCCTCTATCGGACCCGCACGCGAACCGACATCTTGGGGGGGCTGAGGTCCCAAGCGCGACTCATCGTCGGTTGACTAGGACGCATCCCACACACCACGCGCACTCCACTTTACGAACACTCATACACACAAAACAACATATATACGAAACGACACAATACCAACAACGCGACAACGCTCCTAGCCCCTCGGTAGCCAACCCATAACTTTCCAATGCGGAAATCGGATAAGCGTCGCGCGCTGAACTTAGTATAAAACCGCGCGGACGCAGGGCATATTCATATCAACTTGCAATGCAGGCGTACACAATCAGTCGCAACGATGGCGTACTATGTAGTGCCCATAATCAAGCGGTCCCTCGTGAATTCGAGTACCACTTATGACACTCAAGTGTCAGACTTGAAGTGTCGTGAGGGTCTAGCCCTTCACAACATTGCACGACTGAAGGAATAGTCGTGCAGCCGCCGAGGCACCTCGGGTTCTCGACCTGAGTGTCACGGTAGGCAAATCAAATAGGTTCTTCGCGAGGGAAAACCCCTCCCCTGCAGAGCCTAGGGCTTGGGATGTCCTRKACAAGGACCTCGAATCCCGGCCCAGGACCAAACGTCCGACTAAGAAAATTATCAAAAAACAAGAGACAAGAATAAAAGGAGAGACCTCCTCTAAGCCCCTCAGTCTCAGCTTCTGAATGAGGCTCTAATGTGGGGGCTCTTCAACCCATGCAAACATTCATTCCAACTATACCCATGTATACATATATAAGAGCTAAATATGTGACGATCATTTTTCATGGTCTCACTGGGGTTTCTCACAATAATACGTATATGTGTGATCGCAGGCAACCAAATCCAGAATCTGATTCACAGCATATACCTGCCATCACATCAACAAACCAAATCAACAACCCACACACTACACGGAGTCAACCCCAATCACCTTCGACATTCATACCCCTTGCTTTAGCCATGCAAGCCCTAAAACCTCTTGTCCAACCAACCTTAATTAAATACTCAGCACCTTTGTCAAATGACCATTTAATAAAAGTCCGGGTGAAACCTTAATAAAACAACGAAATCACCAGGGCTAAAGCCTTTTAGGTTGTGTAGAGGGAGAGTTGAAATTGAGTCGTAGACCGACGAATCGGCAACCGACCTGTTATCAGTGATAACAGAAAGTGATCCTCAAGGGATCAAGCTGGATCTAGCCCTGAACTTGGATCAAAAGATCAAAAGGACCTGTAACACACAGCAGACCAATCCCCAAACTAAGAACATAAGTGTATGGAGAATACTACTCCATAATACACCCTCACTAAAAATTTTCTTATAAGCTAAACCTAAGTCTACTTTTAAATCAGTGCTTAAACCAAAGGTAGACCAACTACAGAATCTCCCCTATTCTGGATGGATCGTCTGAATCTCCACCTGTCAAAATATAATCTATCTCCTCTAAACTAAGAAAATTTTGGCAGCGCTTCCCGTAGGAAAAATGTCTTTTCAGAATTCATATAAGCTCAAGTATGAACGCAGGAATAATCTCTAACTTTGGAAAGTCAAATTCTGTCTAACTCTCTGAATTAGTAGAAATTTGGGCAGCACTCC